GACCAGGCCAATACCCTACCGGAGAAGGCATCCCTTCTCAGAAGTACATGAAATAAAAATGTTTGTATAAATAAAATAATGAAATAACAATATCAAACAGAATTAAAAACGAAGATGAGGAATTCCAAAGAAATCACCAAAATAACTTTGCCGAACTTGGACCGGTAAATGACCTACCTTGAAGAAAAACTCACGTTAATTTAAATTTGGGTCTGTTTTAGCCAAGAAATGGGCCGAATAATTACCTTCACAAAGAGTATGACTAAAAATCAAACTTTTCTCCTAGGCCCGGATCATTTTTGTCATTGCTTTTGCTAGAGTGAAACACATCACAAACAACACAATTATCAACTTTTTGTGTTGTGATTTTTATTTATCATAAAGTTTTGATTAGTTACTTGAATAAACATAATTTCTTTGATCTATTTATTATAATTATTTAACATGCAGCATCGTGTACTCTATGAAATAATTAAAATAGTCATCTTCAGCGAGAAAAGTTACTTCAATGTAACTTATTTTGAATAGTACATAATTCAATATGCGAAACAAAATTATATATTTGGTAAAAATGAATGATGATACTGATAAAACAAAAATGGAAGCTAAAAATGGGTCCTAAGTCAAATAGCCAACATTAGTCACGCTCAATGTCATTAGTAAAAAAAATAGTTCCTACATAAGAACAAAACACTAAGAAGAAATATATTCATGTTTCTCACATAATCAGTGTTTTAATGGCATATGCTTTTAAACTATTGATGCATAGTTTGTAAAACAATTCACACTCTTTAGATAGTCTTGTTTAGATCCTACACTAACTAATTAGCTCCAATCTCGGAAATAATCTTGAGAACGTGTGGGTTCATATTTTGATCTCTAATTATGCTATGAAATAATGTCTTTTATATAAACATGTCCATAGAAATAATTAGTTATTAGTATGTGTGCCCGTGCACTGCACGGTAATATATGTGCTTAAGGTTTTTCTGATGACACATATAGGAATGAAAATGAAAAAATACAATAATATTGTAGATGTAATGAATTGTATGTGAATTCGTAGATTACACACTACATTTGATTGAGTTACAAATATCAAATTTTGAGAATGGTTAAGATGATTGTCAAAATTAGAATTTAAAAGAGAATTATGTTGACTGTGAATGAAGCTATATATTGAAATGAGATGAAACCCGCAGGCTAACCCATTTCAACCCATTTAGTGGTGTATTATTCCCAATTAATTCACGCGTTTTGATTAATTTGGCCCACACAGGATGCAGGTCGGCCAATAGAAACACTTCTAATATGATTTTTTATTGACTTGAATATTGATCTTCTACTATCAATTTCATTTGCAATTATATACTTATTATTTTACATTTTCTATATTATTTTATCTATCATAACTCAAATAAATTATTCGAGCGTATTTTATAGTCAACGATAATCTTTAGCAATTAGTAGTTATTGTTTACAAAAATCTACTCAAAAGGTCAATGTATATCCTTATTTTTGTATATTGATTACTTTTGTTGGATATCATCTTATAATATCAAATGTCAAATGTTTACATAATTATGATTTAATCATATTTTTAATTTAACTTATCAAGTATGGCCTTCTTAGTATTTTTGTTTCTTATATTTCTTTTTATTACTACTTACCTAAATGAACAAATACTTCAAGTTAATTATTTTCAAGGTGTTTTGTCATTGTATGTTTTTACACTTGTTAACAGGCTAATTCGCGACACACACATATCGAATGGATTTGGTCAGAGATGTGGAGAACTTTGGCCCACCATTAGACATTTGTGCCAACCCGACCCATCAAAAGCATAGCCCACCACATATTGGGTCTAGGCAGTGCAATGCGAGGCCTGTTGACTGATGATATTTTTTAGTGTAGAAATTGACCAAGTTTTATGGGACGAGGGAGGGGTGTTTGTTATTTACTCCCTCCGTCCCACAAAACTTGGGCAAATTGACTTTTTTTTATCAATTCTAATAAACTCTGGACAATGAATTTTGTTATTATATTTGTGTGAAAAATATAACTTCTACGTAGTATATTTTATGAAAGTGTTTTTAACAAATAACATTTAGATATTATTTTTTTATTTAAATATATCATTGGCCAAACTGTGCTATCATTAGTAAAAAAAGTCAAATTGAAACTGTTTTGTCGGGCGGAAGAAGTATTTTTTACTTTTGAGTATTTTCAAATTGAGTATAAATGTGTACTGTACCTAACTTTAATTTATAAAAACATTATGAACATGGTAGAATAGATGTGCTTTTTAAAACAACGAACACGGTATGGTAGTAGGAAGACATGCGGGTGGAGTTTTGGAAGCTGAATTGTTTTTCACTTAGAATTATATAAGTGTACACATATAAATGTTGCAAACACATTGTAAACAATGTACATAGTATTTAAAAAGGATGACTTTATTATGGTCTTGCCACGTGCCAACTTTTTCTATGAAGGATGTTACCACATGTCATCAATTCCTTCATAGAGTTCTCTAAGAGTTTGCTTTATTATATTAATATAGATAGATATAGATACAGATATGATCAAATTAATTAATACTACTTTCATCCTTTTTATTTAGTCATTTTTTACTTTCTCAGTCAAAGATGATAAACTTTGATCCATTATTTTAACTAATATATTTATGTAAAACTTAATAAATTTATACTTTTATGATAATATTTTTAACAAATATATATATGTCAAGTACTTTGTGGTCTTATGACATCACTGTGACACTATCAAAGAGGATGTCACGCGTTCGAATCTCATCTCAGTTCAAGGATGTTAGCCTTAACATAGAACATATACTATAATAAGTTAGGAAGCTTTGTCCCAAAAAACAAATATATATTGGTCAAAGTTTGACCCCATTTACTTAAACAGTCAAATTTGACTAAATATAAAAGGACGGAATGAGTATCTTAATAATCTCATGCTCTATTTCTTTTCTCTTTTTTTGGAGTTTTTTTTATCAGATTCATGCTAATTAAATAAATAAATTCCAGAATACTAATGAGTTAAAAATAATTCCCAAAATACTGGTTGAGTTAACCGCGGTTAAAAAAAAGCCGCCACTTGAAGTGGCAATTCTTCTGTCCACTACAAAAACCGCCAGTCCAAGTGGCGGCTCTTCTACATAGTAAATCCAACCACAACTCATTCAATCGAAAAAACAAAAAACATGCTCCTTACAGTCCAGTCAACTCATAAAAATCAAAACAGCTGGTCTTTATAGTCAATATAGGTTGCTAAAAACAAAACATATCTGAGATACAAAACGAATCAATGGAACAACATTGGATCACAATACTAGAATTATCACATGAATTTGATAATAAATCCAGTGTTTCAGAAAATAATTCGATCAGCTAGTTCATGTTTCACACAATAATGTAAAGTAAAAATATCAGAAGTCAATGTGATCATCATCATAAAGCTCATGTGGTTGTGGTTGTGGTTGTGCCTGTGATCGTGGGCGTCTGCGCCTGTTAGAAGGCTGAAGAACCACTCTATCACGTCGTAATGCCTGGGAAGACCCCACTATGAACGTAGATGCCGTGGAATACTAAGAGACGGCCACATATCCATAGTCTACTCGGCCCAATACATCAGCACACAGTGCAGCAATGCCCGAGCATACCTCATGATATCCATGTACATCTACTCCTCATCAAGTACAACAGTCGCTCTGTCGTGGATAGTATGCACAACCCGTGTCTGTAATGAAAGCATGGTTATTAGTGATAAACACATGAATGAATGAATGAATAAATAAATAAATAAATAAATAAATAAATAAAGTGATTTATATGAATATATTGTGTACCGTCATATGAAGAGCGACTGAGCTAGGCTGGTAATGAGCGGTTTGTAGATGAAACCTGGGAGAGATAAACACCTATGTGATGGTTTGATACCATCTCATGTTATCTGCAGAGACCTTGGGAACTACTGGTGGAGTCTCGTGCACTATATACTCTCTCATCCCACATGGTGATCGATAGACTGAATATGGTGCATCCCTCAATCTTTGGTGTGCTTCCCTCGTCTGTCGATCTTGTGTAAGTCCACAGAAGTATCACAAGGTGCGCGAATAATCTGCTGCAACCCGAACTATCGTAGTACGCGATCGGGAAAATGATGTCCCACTACATCAAGACAAATCAAGGGCACGCATGCTCGCCATGTCTCAGTGTGCTCTCGGCCAACAGGAGGCAACTGTTAAAGAATCTCATGAGTGTATGGCATCCACGTCATCTATAATACAAAATATTATGACATCATAGTTTACAAAAACGTAAAACAAAGTACATATACTTAATGATATATATGGTATACCGTAATCCAATATAGTTCCATTGATTCGTTTTGTTCTTAGATATGTTTTGCTTTTTAGCAACATATTAAACTTGTACGGAGTAACAAATACTCCCTCCGTCACGCTAAGATTGTCTCAGACACTATTCACTTAGTCAACATAAATAACTCTTAATCTTTTATTTTATATACTCCCTCCGTCCCCTTTTAAATGTCCCGGAAGAGGGTGACACGAGTTTTAAGAAAAGTGGATTTGTGTGGTTGATATTAATTGATAAAGTAAGAATAAAGTAAGAATGATTTTGAGTCACACAAACTTTACCAAATAAGGTATGAGACAATTAAATAGGGACATCCCAATATGGTAAAACGAGACATTTAAAAGGGGACGAAAGGAGTATCAAATTTTTACTAAATTTGATTCTCGTTTTTGCGACTTTGTATTAATGTAGTTTCTGAATATGTAATTTTTTTCTAAAAAAATTTAAGTGCAGACATGGATATGTTTGATTTATCGATCAAGCATCGTAAATCAAATTGTGTCAAACATAGTGGGACGAAACGAAGTACTCTGTAGTCTTTAGGCCCAAATTTGGGATAATTTGTGGGGGCAAACTCTTTAACCCCTATAGTTTCTCAAATTTGCATATATAGCCCTAAATAAAGCAGTAGCTGAGTGGCTGGGCAAGCCGATCAGCAGAATTTTGTGGTTTTCTGTTGAATCTCATCGTTCCTGGTTAGGTCGGAAATTACTTAAACAAATCTCCGGCGAAAGGGATCATGATAACTCAGGCTAAACTCGTCGAGCAACTCAGAGATTACCAGATCAGATCACAGCACAAGTGCCCTGCTCTTACTATCTTCTCCCCTAAACCATTCCTCACCACCTGGTATTCTCTCTCTCAATAAATTCATCAACGAATCTTCTTCTCCTTTTCTAAGAAATTTTCTCTGGATATTGTTGAGGCGTTTCATAGTTATCTCTTTTTCTTAAATGCGTAAAGGGACGCCATTGTTTATATTTGTGGATGCATTTTGTGCCTGATGATTTTCTTGGAGAATATTATACCGACTGCAGTGATTTTTCGTATTAATGTTTCATTGATTGGTCTCCTGTTACTGTTTTTTTTGGCCTGAAATTTATACTTTCTTTAAATATGCAGTCTTCTCTGTGCATTATGATTGCATTGGCTGCTAGAATAGCAGAATATGTCCAGAATACTGAATTCCGAATTAGGGTTAAGATGTAAAGAGCTTAATTTTGAATGAATTATGCTTATTCTTTGGCTCAGTGCAATGATGGCATTTGTGGAATTGAATTGTCTTTGTTGGAACTATAAAATATAGGAAAAATTGAAAATAATAATCCCAACTATTGCCGGTCCGTTGATAATAATCCCAACTATTGATTATTTTTGTATAATCCCAACTATATGGACCGTCCGCCAATAATGGTCCATGACCAGATATTACCTCCTAAAAAATGAATTTTAAATAGAAACTATGTGTAAAAATTAAAAGTTGAGATTATTTTATAGGGATTACTTGCTATATCTCTCCTCATCCACTTTAGAAACTACAAGAATTTATTTATAGGGACCATTATTGGCGGAAGGTCCCTAAAGTTGGGATTACTCTGAAATAATCGACAGTTGGGATTATTATAAGCGGACCACCAATAGTTGGGATTATTACTATCAATTTTTCCTAAAATATAAAGTGTCTTTGATGCTATGGTAATTTGTAATTTCTCCCTGTTTTCTCAAACTTTTGTGTAATTTGAATCATCATTACTCTGGTTCTTGATTAACTAGGTTATTAAACTTATTCATCTGTTAAATATTCCTATTTTTTAACTTTCAGGGGGATTATTTACCATGCGTTTTTCTAATGCTGCAGTATGCTAAGTTGCTTATACATGTCCCAATATCTATAAATTTATACCTCAAGCGGCACATTGTGCTCTATACCTTCTTATTACCCAAATCACATGCTACCACACAAAAATCAATCATCTCTCACTCTCTCAGTATTGGTTATGTACATAGTCCAGAATCCCATCTTATTATGAGCTTTTTAACATCATTTATATGTGTTGGTTGCTATTACGTGGGCTTATTTGACAAATTTTCTTTCTTTTCTATATCATTTCTATAGGGCTGATGTTGCGGTTGCCGTTGTGTGGGCCCTTCTATTTATTGTGTTTGTAGTATCATCATACTTCGCCCTTCGATCAGGGCATTACTGGATTTCTCTTCTCATTTTATGTCTATGTGTCTCACTCCAAGTTCGTCTGAGAATTTTGAGACAGGCGAATGCAAGGAAGAGAGTTAGGCTTTTACCTTTGTCCATGTGAAGGTTTTATCCACTTGACCATTCCTTTCTATTATACTCAGCTTATATCTCAAAATACGAGGTTAAAAGGAAAGGATCACTTATAGGTAGGATTCATAATTGTAGATTTTTTTTTGTTAGGGCAAGTATGTTTTGTTTCATTGGGGAAGAATGAGTATAGTTGTAATCTGGGAAACTACAGCATATATCCTGTGACTGTCCACATTAGTAATGTATTTAGGTGAGATAAGTTCTCTAAGTTTGTGATTTTTTGACGATATGCAATGGGCATTCATACTTGTTTCTTTTTCATGACAAGGGGTTGAGACTTGAGAGAATGCTTTGTAATTTTTGCTCATTGTATCTTTGGAGAATGGTATACTCTCATGGTAACACCACTAGGGACTGTCCACATATGTTCACCCACTACTTTTCCTGACTCATGATTCTCACAAACCAAGAATGTTACCTCATCTGTGAGGCCTCTTTGAGGGCATGTTCTTTAAGTACATGGAATTAAGAGGTGTTAAGGACTTGACCTGCAGTGATGCCTCAAAAAGAGTAGAGATTCGTATCCTCGAAGTTCATATTACAAACTATTGATTCTTGAACTAGGATTGATTGACTGGGAAAAGATATCCCTTCAATCCTTTTTGGTAAGATATATTTTTCTTTTTGAATTGTCTAAAAATATGATCAATTAAATACTCCGTAGAGAACAACTACCTTTTTTTTACTTTTCTTCTGTATTCCTATATTTATCTTTTCTTTTTATTTTACTTTTTGTGCACTCATACTACACTTTTTTAAAGGTTACAATTGAAAAAAAAACTTTATTTTCTTAAAAATGATGGCACACTCATGTGTATATTAGATTGTGAAATGGATGAGGTTCACCGAATAGTCATCCTTCCATATGCCAACAAATCTACTTGTTCACATCATTTTCCTGGTGAGTGGTGAAGATGCACCATGGACCTAGGTTTAAACGCTTAATATTAATTTCCCCCTGTTTGTGTTGCATTTTTTTGTAAATGTTTCTTAATTTATATGAAGCTGAGATTGAAATTAATTGCAGGAACGTATACGTTCATTAATAGCAAACATAAAACTCATGTCTTGAACAATGAACAAGTAAGCTTAATTGGTGAACTCATCAAACAAAATTCATATGTGAAAGGCGATGTTGGGTTAGATTGGATAATTCCGTAAAATGATGTCCACATTTCTGGATTTTAATACCAGATACCCATCCCGAAGTGTTATTTGGACTTCAAATCCATCCGCCAACCAATGGATTGTGCTATCAATTTGGATTGAGATATAAGGTTCAACTAGTATTACACGGGATGTACGGGATGTAATATACAATATTAAAAATGTGAATTACAAATGCATTTAAAAATTATATAATTATTTGTCACATGAATAAGAGAAGCCATAATGAATATTATAATTATAGACCGAGTAAAATGACCTATATTACACATCTGTTACATTCACACGTGTGTTGCACATGAATACATGATGCATGATTCAATTATAATTTTTTTTCTGATGATATGAAAATATGATGGTAAATATTATAATTCACAAAAGGCTGGTAAAGCGGATATCAATATATTATCCATACAAATTATTCATATTATGCATTCACATTATATGTCCCTACCTTCATTCTTAACTTGACTTTTCACATTAGAGTAATGCGTATGATCAACATTTCTAATGTCTTAAAATGTTAAATTGCGTAAGCAAATTAAGAATGAGAATTGAATGTATAGCACTTTTGGTTCAAGATATGCCATTTTTATTGAACTTGTTTTAACGAATGTTATTTGAAAGCATAAAATAAAGCAAATATAGAATAGATGTGATATACTGATATGACTTAAAACATGGCAATTTAAAATGATTTAATACATGTATCAATTCTCTTATTGTAGCATGTTCATTCTTTTTCGATGTACTCATTGCTCGTGCATTCTTTTTCCACTTCCATTTCTTTGAGATGTCCTAATTAGGGGTGACCATATCAATTCATGATTGGGACTTTATCGGTTTCAATTCAGTTCGATTTGAATTGAAAGAATTATTACCAAACAAAAATCATACTATATATATTTCAGTTTGGTTTGGTTTAGATTTGTAATTTTTTAATAACATACGAGTATGAGGGGCGTGTTGAATTTCTTTAATTCAATTCGGTTTTATTCTTTTATCGGTTTTGAGGCAATACGGTTTAATACGATTTGGAAAAAATACTACCAAACTCAAGTCAAATTGTATATAGCCCGATTTCGATTCGGTTTAGTTCAATTCAGTACGGTTCGGTTAAACCAAACATATATGCACATATATTCATAACATATATCTAAACATTTTTGGGCCGTTCCCAAAAATACTCTCCACTTTCCCTTTTTGGGCCATTTGTGTGGCTCACATTCATTTTACGTTTTTTTTACACAACCACAACCATACATTTCCACTTTATTCCACTTTCTTAATAAGCGTGCCAAGTCAAAATGGGAAGGATTTTTAGGAATGGAGGTAGTATAAGCTATATTGAAAGATTAAAAAGTCTAAAAGTGTGAACTTTATGTACATTACAAACTTTTAAGCGTGAATGTATTAGATAATAGATAGGAGTATATAATTACAACCAACATATCATTATCAAGCAACCCACACACTAAAACACAAACATATATAACAATACTTAAAAGAAAAACCTCACCATGTGGGGCAATGACATTAGAATTAATCGGAATAATCAAGTTATAGGACTTATAGGAAAGACAGTTTTTTGACCGTATGAAGCATTTTACAAAACAGTATTTCTAATTTTTTATTCTTGAATGACAAACCAAAATCAGGACCACTTTAGATTGGTTCTAAGTGACAATTCTGATTCTAAATAAACCAACTTGTAACTATCTTGATAATGGAACTATCTGCCTGATCTGGCTTGGGTGCGAAATAGGGCCAAATCTATTCCTAATGACAACCAGTCATTATAAAATTGTATTCCGTATAATAGAAATCCGTAGTGCAAAATTTATCCCATGGTGCTGGCAATATTTCCAATCATTTTCTGCAAAAGGATAAACCAGTAAGTAAAGATAACCAACCTAAGAGTCTACATGATATTATACTTTAAGGAGGTCAATGCTTCTCAAAACAACCTTCATAAGCCATTCTCAATCAAGAGTTCAAGGCAAGAGTGATAGCAATGACTTGGTCAGGTTAGCTACGAACGAAATACCTTGTAATCAGTTAGAAAATTTAAACTTTTCTGGGCAGGTTTGTAATGAAACCGGGGAATGATCTGCAGAAATTCAAACAAAAGTAAATTAGATAAGAAAATTTTGATACTAGCAATCTAAGTTTTGAAATCAAGGAATGATTTTCAATGGATACATGAATAGATTAATAGGAGCATTAAACTTAATGGAGCATTGTGGCAGCCATGTTAAGATAGAATAGATTACATCTTATTAGAGTTTTGGTTTTCTTCTTCTCAAACTTTAATAGAATTTGAAATTTAATTAATGTCTTTTATTGTTTCCTAACATGAGATTAGCCTAATAAAACCCTCTTTTGTACTTTCCCTAGTTCGTTTTCTACATTGCAGTTTTTAAAATTCATAGAAACAATTTTATTGAACAACATATTTGGAGTGTTTCTTTGTCGCTTATCTGAATTAATATACAAAAAAACTGTTTACATATTTAATGTGAAGCAGCCACAGAACTCATTGCTGGCTTTGAATGGCTTCTTTTCAATATATCATGTTTTAAAGTTCTAATTGATTTACCATCACACTGCTATTTAAAAATGAGAGAAGTACCGCAGCAAAATATAAGACCAAATTTGCATGTTTTTCGGTTAACGGTTAAACACGGTTAACTACCACATATGCATGTCTTCAGAATATATGCAAAATATAAGACCAAATTTGAAAACAACTGTATTAAGTAAAGAATAAGATAAGTCTAAATAGATTAGCATCATGTTAAAAAGTAAAAACAGGCATATATTGCTTATAATAACATAATAAACATAAACTTACCTGGAAATAATGAGGAAGCTGCAACATGTTGTCATTTTTTGAATGAATATATTTATGCTTTAAAGGATTTAGCGCATATCCCAATATATTTTTCTCTACATGAGCATGAAGTTAAAATGTAGAGTACCCCTGTAACTAAATCTCTGTATTTTAGTCCTTTGGAAATAAATACCCAAGTTGCTAAAAACACAACCCAAAAATGAAGCCCTTCCTAGAGAACAAAAGAACTACATATAGAGAAAGTTGTAAAAATAGAGCAAGCTATTATTTGAAATGCTAATACTCCTATGTCCCCTTTAATTGTGAATTCTTTGCTGAATATTGTGCTAAATTGTTGGCTTAGATTTGTTTGAATCTTTAAATAAAAGATCAATTTGACTGACATTTATCAGCTTTTACACACTAATTCCAAATTTTTCCTGAAGATTGGTTTGTTCTCTTTACGGGTTTTGTTTAGATTCCTAGCTATGCACCTCAAAGAAAAAAACAGCAGTGAGGCTAAAAATGGCACCAAAAGCTGGCGCTCCTTAAAGTCAATAATCTACTGCTATCAACTGATATAAAACTTTAAAAAATATTGACTAAGATTTGTTTACCTCATTTTATAACCTCATCTTACTGATTTTTATTTGGATTGTTATGTGAAAGACACACTCATAGAATGGTTCTTAAGTAAAAAGACTGAAAACTAAGACAAATGCTATAAAGGAAGAATAGAACATTCATATTTTTGTCTTTGTGATCAAAGCTTCTGACAACTTTGAGTTCATCAATGATCAAATCTTATGGGAATTGAGCTTTTATGTAATGTTTAGTAATATTGTGGTGGTTAATTAGATTTGACATTCAAATCTATAAACCTCCCAGAACACGCTTAGCATATCTCCAAAGGATAGGCTGTGAAAAGGGAATTCACCCCTAGGCTAATTCATCTGTCATTAATAGCAAACATAAAACTCATTTATTGAACAATGAACAAGTAAGCTTAGTTGGTGAACTCATCAAATAAAATTCATATGTGAAAGGCGGTGTTGGGTTAGATTGGATAATTCCGTAAAATGATGTCCACATTTCTGGATTTTAATACCAGATACCCATCCCGAAGTGTTGTTTGGACTTCAAATCCATCCGCCAACCAATGGATTGTGCTATCAATTTGCAAGGGTAGTTCAGCATTGGCAAAGTAAAAAGTTGGATTGAGATATAAGGTTCAATTCCGAGCGTGAATCAGACTCGTATTATTTTTTAGAACTAAGACAATATTTACTTTTCAATATATGATTCTTTTATATCCAAATTTAATCATACTCGTATACGTTTAATACTACTTTGGTGTTTCTCTCTCTATATGTATATATATATAAATCCTGGAAAAATATGACTCATTCTGCTCACATATAGAGTGCAGTATGTTTCCAGAATTTATTTGACTGTCTTCCCGATCGAATGAGTCATATATATAGAGACCAAAGTAGTATTAAATCCCATAACGGTATACGAGTATGATTAAATATAGGGGC